CCGACCAAAAACGAACGTCGAGCTGTTAAAATGTCTAAATCGGAAATGTAAAATTGCCAGAGATACGATCGTATACATACCATGCGTATCCATTTTCAAGAACTGTGAAAAAACTGATTGACTAGTAAACATGTAAATTAAGACTTATGTAAATACGAATCAATTTTAACAGGGTTGTTGAGATCTTCATTCGATCATTTATTTATACTTTTATGTACTTTGTATTGCTACACATAAGCTGTATCTTACATATACCTATACAGTGTGATTCAAAATTAATAAAAGAGCCGGCTGGATGAAGTTCATAAGTTAGACACGCACCTCCACTCTTTCCTATTTTGAGCTAATTTTCGCATTTCCCTAAAACTAGAACATCCCACATCCTTAACTATTTGCTAACAATAATCTAATCTAGGTCTACCTCTACCCCTCTTAACTTCCGATTCTGCCTCTAATATGTCTCTGACTAGACCTTCATGGCCGAGAAGGTGTCCTGCTAACCTATCTCGCCTATTTCTTATTGACTTCCATACAGTCCTCTGATCTCTTATTCTTTCTAATGCCTCTTCATTTCTAACCTTCTCTATCCAAGGTATCCTCATCATTCGCGCTTCTAACCTTTTTTTTTTACGTCGCGTCCACTTTCCATATTTCGTACCCGTACAGCGCTGCGCTCCAAACATACACCTTTAACAAACTTTTTCGAATTTCTAAATTAATCGTTTTCGAGCATAGAAGTAACTTCTTTTTATTGAAGGCGATTTGACTCTGCGTTATGCTCTGTTTTATATCCTAACTATTCCTTCCATCCTGAATTATCTAACTTCCTAGATCCTTAAAATCGGTCACCTTCTAATTTTTCGTCTCCTATCTTTATATTCGCCCTTTCCCTACTTTTCTTCCCTTGCATGCCAGTATTTTTGTTTTACTTTAATTTATTTTCATACAATACTGTTTTGTCAATACCGCTTCCATTTGATTTGAAGCTATCTCTAACTCCTCCTTGCTAGATGCTAATACTGCTGTATCATCTACAAATCTAAGCATAACAATCTTTTGCCCCTGTATATCTATCCCTACAGTTGTACTGTCTTTAATGATGTTGATCGCGTCTTCCATGTATAGATTAAAAAGTAACGGTGACAGTTTGCATCCCTGTCTGACTCCCTTCCTGATATTTACTTCTCTACGTTGCAGCCCCAGCCCTATAACTGCCTGTCGCTCTTTATACAAACTAAGTATCACTCTTCTACCTCTGTAACTCATCCCTACATTTTTAAGTATATTTAACATCGTACTTCAATTTAACATTGTCAAAAGCTTTTTCTAAATCTACAAATCCTACCTACGTACGCACTCTATGAGTTTACTACTTTAAAGTTAATCACTCTGTATGCAAAGTGGTTAAAGCTCAGTGAAACAATCTACTGAATGGGTTCCGTGATTGGGACGAATGCACGTAAATAAAATAATTAAACTACTTTTTGTATGATAATCATCTTCTCGCGCGCTGAAGCCCAGGTCGTTTTCAATCAATCAGCCTGCCCATTACTATTCTAATGAACGTCTTTGAATTTTAATTTTTCGTTAGAGATCAACAGTGAACGACATAAACTGACTCTCTATATCTTCGGTAACAATTAAAACCAAGTTACGGTTTTAAATCTATGTCCTGCAGAGATACACGACATCTATATGGTCTTTAGCAAGTTTAAAAGGTGCCAATTTAAACAGTTATGACTCTTCGGTTTCGTCAATTAAAAATAATGGTCGCGGTAAAGTTGGAACGATGGCGCGTTAATATGTTCTTGCCACAAAATGATGGTTGCTAAATAGATGATCTGGATAGAGCTCTTAATTATACTTTATATGTCGTAAAAGAATGCCGTCAACTACATATATTTACCTAACTATTATAAAAAATATTTAACTTTATCAAATAGGAAGATCGTAAGATTCACTATAAAGTTAAAATGCATGTTGGAGGACGTGATTTGCCATTTCAAACATTTAACGAACCGTAAAATCTTCGTTGACGTCTGAATAATTTTTATTTTGTCTTAACTTCCCATATCCTCTTGCCTATAGTAGACATTTAATGGAACACGGAGAAAATGGAAAAGGAAAATTTACCTAAGCGAAAATAAAAATTACAATTTGGAACCGAATTTATAAAAATAAAATCCCAGCAGATATAAATTTACTCGGTATTTTAGTTGATATTACAAATTAAATTGTAATAATTAAAAAGATTGATAAGTACAAATTAAGCTGATCAAAGTGCGTAAGAAAATATCAGAAAAACGTTGGAAAATTCAATAGCGGCTTTTGGAGAAAAAGGAGAAAATTTCCATGCGGTGTTAAAGAATTGAAAAGTAAAAGAGGATTGCACTGGTATTTTACCAGTTTTCAGATTGAATTCCTCGTGATGACAATGAATGGCTTTAGATTTTGGTTTTAAATACTGTTGATCTTCTGGTTAACCACTTCTTAAGGACGAAATTCATGGATATTAAAGGATATATTAAATATTTTTAATATGCCGCATGAATCCTTTATATAAAAATTTCCAGCATCATCATCATTGTTAAATAAAAATATGGAGCAATATGTAGATAGTAATAGTTTTGAAATTCTGTGTATAGGGGTGTATTTTAGAAGTCTAAATAATTCAGATAAATATACAGAATATCCCAAAAAAATCTAAAAATAAAATCAAAACGAAGTCGTTGTTTTTTGAAGTGAAACTTCTTTACGCACGGTAGGGTAAGTTCGTTTCATGCGAGTTGCCATGTAACGAAATCATGCAACGCATTTCCCCCGCTGTCTGTCCCTATGTATGCTTAGATCTTTAAAA